GAATCGTTTTTCAACTTCGCCTGCCTTTTTCATATTTTCAAAGGCCGTTTTTTGAAACTCATCGATTAATAATTCTCGATGTTTGATATACGTTTTCTCAGACATACATGGCGTATTCACAGCTGCTAACATCTCTTGTAATTGGGCATAACCAATCCCAGTCGTTATGCTTGCAGCTGTCATAGCCGTGTTGATGTCCATAGTTTTACCATCTCTGGGTTGTGACCAAAACTTGTCTTCATAGTTGCAATTTTGGTATCTAAAGAAGAATTGCGTCAATAACCCAGAGCGTCGCTCATTTATGAGACGCCAATTTTCAAATCGGCACGAAAATAACATTGCATGCTTATCAAATGTCCTATGCATCTCTTTCAAGAAGAAAGAAATATCCACAATGCGAGCCCTTCAGGCTCATGGTCTTGGATACGATCTATATCCACATGGCCTGTACGGTCGACGACATAACTATCATCATTGTCATCTTCGCAAATTTGGACATTCCTATACATACCTTTATTTACTGGCTTTGTGTCCAAGCATGTTTCGAAGGTACTGATTTCTTTCAAATCCATCGCATCGGGTGAGATCAATGCTATCGGCCCCGTGTCAGATTTATTATCAGTACTCTTAGAATTAATGCTGGTTTCTTCAGCCATCATCCTTTCCATCAATTTTCTTAACTCTGCCCGCCTACAAAGAATAAATACATTAATATGCAAAATAATACACAGAATAGCATTTAATAATAAAAACATAAAAATATGGATATAACTTATATTATTTATCATATATTTTATTATTACGCATGTATCTTACTATTACCCAGTCTTGCTTGTTTATTATACTGTTTACTACAATTAAATATATATATATATATATATAAAGTTTTTCAACGTGTTGTGTGTGTACGTGCGTGCGTGCGTGTATGTGTTACCATCACGAGTGACGCTTTTGATATTTATTATAATCAGTATCGTCTGGGGAGGGCTCCGATTGCATACATGGCATATTGCACACATGTATCGCTGATTGGCCAATTTAAAAATAAAATAATCTCATTGGCAAAACAGTGAATAATTACTAGGCACCAGTTGATATGAGTGATATGTACAATCAGAACTGTAGGCAAACGGGATCCTCCCTATCGTCTGATTAGACGTCTCTGAGATTTATTCCATCAGTTCCGTCGAAATAGACGCTTCTGACATTATGGCAAACAATAACATGCATATGATAATACAAACTAGTACCGTCAAAATAGACGCGTCTGGCATTATGGAAAACAATAACATGCATATGATAATACAAACCAGTACCGTCAAAATAGACGCGTCTGGCATTGTGATAAACAATAAAATGCATATGATAATACAAACCAGTACCGTCAAAATAGATGCTTCTGGCACTATTGAAATACTATTAACTACTACATGGTTAAATATTGTATACAATTAATTTCGTGTTCAATGTAGAGACAAGCAAGACTGCGTTCTTATCTTTAAAAACAATTGTAATTTTTTATAAAAAAATTCATTTTTACAAAACTTACCATTAAGCTCTTGCAATAGTAAATTATAATTTTCGAATACTATACAGGGTGTCTGGAAATTACCGACAAATGTTTCGTGCGTAGGTAGAACAGATAATACTGAGTTGAAAAGTCCTGTACCATTTTGCGATGTCAGCAATAGTTAACGAGATATTAACGTTATAGCTGAATAGGCGCGTCCGCCCGACCTACTATTGCCGGAGATACGGCCCATCGAGCGCACGGTGCGCGGGCCGCGAGGAGCAGGGACGGCCTAGTAGGCGCGCCGCTCCGTTCGAGCCTCGGTTCGAGCTTCGAGGCTCGTGGCGGAGAGCGGGGAGCTTGCCACACTCCCCGGGCGCCAAGCTATCGATGACGGCGCTTTGGAAATAATATCTCAATTAGGAAATGATCGCAATCTTTTTGAAAATTCAATTTAGTTCGCTCTAAAACGTGCGCGTGTACATACAAAAAATGCTACATATGTATAAATGTGACTTGTTTTAAATAAATAATATATGTATTTTAAAAGGATATTTGATCATTCTCCCGACAACGTTCGTGAATAAGAAAGAGCGCACTAAGCTGAGTCCAATTGAGTCCTTTACCATTTTGTAATTTTCGCAATAGTTACAAGATATTAATTACTAAAATATTGATTTTCAAGAATTTTTTACTCAAATACTATCAACTTTACAGAAAAACATCAAAAGACAAATATTTTTTTTTTTTCATAAAGCTCTACGAATTTTTTCAGAATTTTTTAGTACCGTATTTTCTCATTTTGGTAAAAATAGTTGTTAATAAGAAAATGCTGCATTAAAAGATTGATA